TCTTTTTTGCACAGAGAAACATAAAGGAAGACAAATTACCCAAGGCACCGCGGCACTGTGTGACTATGCCAAAGCTTAGGCTGGAGACACTTACTGACATCTCCTTAAATATCTTTTTAATATCTTGGCCAGATCAGACATACCAACAGCATGACAAAGTTTGCAAATCAATGCCCCAGCTGTTTTGGGTTTTTAATAAAACTGAATATGATCTATTTAAAATGATTGTTTTCTACAGGGCTTTTCCAGAACCAGGGCTGTGCGCAGCCCTAAGGCAGGAGTTGGCTCTCAAAGAGGTTCTCTTTCTAGATTCCACAGGGTGGGGTGGAAGCCAGGCATCTGCAGAATTAATGCTGTCAGGCCCCTGGCCTCCCAACTCTGTGCTCAGTGATGGGTTTACCAAACTGCGGCTGAAGAATCTGAAGGGTTTTTTTTTTTTAATCACAGTTTCTCCATCTGGGATCGGTTCAAATGATTCGTCTGAGATTTTATTAGAAGTCCCAGCCCAGGCAAAGTCTTTTTAGCTGATTACTGCCATGGTAGAGACCAAAAGAGATTCTATCAAAGATTTAACCCTATGCATGTGACTCTGGCCCCAAGAAAAACAAAAGGAGATGTGTAAAACTGTCACCACAGCAGAGCTCCCAATTTCAAAGTTCCCATGCAAATAGGGAAGTAGTCTTATCAAGTTTGGGGTCCAAATAAGAGGAAAAACTCAATCTAAGTGCCCATATATCCCAGTTTTGTAATGTTGTTTTATAATGTTATAACTGTTGTTATAATGTTGCAACTCATCTAGGCCATACATGTGACACTACAATAAACAAACATGTCTTTTTTGAGGATGCATTGGGAGATTATTCTATGAGTTTGAAGACATTGTAGCATAATTAGAAATGTCTTACCTACTCTCACAATTTGCTCTCTCTTCTGCAGTTTATATAAAATGTCTGAGCACACCCACCCCTCTGACTTTGCTAATATTTTGCCTGGGCTACTTGACTACTGATCTGTGTTTCCCCCTGGCCCAGCCGAAGAAGCCCCCCCAGAGCCCTCCTCTGTTTTCCCAGGCTCCGTGTCTCAACAGCTCGTCCCAGGCAACTGAAGTGGCCTTTTTCCTTCTCTTTTGTCTCTCCTCCTCTCCTCTCCTCTCCTCTCCCTTCTTTCCCCCCTTTTTCTTTCTTTCCTCATTTTTCTCTAACCACAGGCAAAGCACTGTCTCCCTAATTCTCTAAAGTTATCTGTTCCTGAATTTTTCCCTTAACCACAGCAGAGAAGATTGACTAGCTGAGGCCAGGAAGTATGGAAAGAATGTCAACAATTTACCACTAAAATATACATTAAGAATATTTCCAGCAGTGTAATCTCCAGGTTGAATTTCTAAATCTAGGTTTCTCTTGTCACATGACTGTCCATTTTCACATGTGTTTGTGTCACTTTCACCCGTAATTTATCCTGCCCTAAATGAACTCTCTCTGAGAGGTAGGACGGAATAAAAACAAAGAAGTCATAGATAGTTGTCTTTCCCATAAGACAGTATATAAATACCATTCGAATTTTTTAATTACAGAAATTGATTTATTATATGGGCGTGTATGTGTGTGTGTGTGTGTGTGTGTGTGTGTGTCACAGCATGTCTGTGGAGGTCAGAGGACAACTTGCCAGAGTCCATTCTCTCCTTCTATCCTGTGGGTTCTGGGGATTGAACTCAGGTCCTCAGGTTTGGTAGCAAACACTTTTTATAAGCTAAGTTACCTCACCAATCCAAATCATCAGAGAGTTTAATAGACACAAAAAACCATGAGATTTTAATAGACATGAAGACATGAGTGAAAATGCAAGCAGGTGCAGTGCCTCCCGTCAACAGCTAGTTCTGTTAGCAGAGATCCCCAATCCTAAACGCCTAGGCACTCGGGAGAATGAAATGATGAATGATAGCATCCTGACTCAGACACTGCCGCCTGAGCTTTTCTCATCGGCACTGTGGCTTGAGTACAATTTCCGTGTGTCCTCCCCGGGGTCACATATTGGAAGCATAGTTAACAGTCGGTGCTGTCAGTGTGGTTCAAGGGCGGCGTCAGACAGAGGAACTGCACTAAGTGAAATAAGCCAGACAGAGAAATTCAAGTGCCATGAGCTCTCTCTCATATGCAGAAACTGAAAAAAGGGGGTGGGGTTAGGGGAGGCTGACCTGAAAAATAAGGTCTAATTACTAGGAATTGAAGAGTCTCCAGACATTGTGAAGGTCGTATGGATAAATAATCTATACACACATCATGCATGTTTATGACTGTGTGGCATCAGTGTATACTGACAGAAAGCAAAAGTATAGCATTAAAAAAAGAGTGCTGGCATGTTTAACTGGTGGTCTGTGTGCGAGATCTTTAGGTTACAGGGACACTGTCCTTGCAATGGGCTAGAACAGTTCTCCTGGGACCCTGCTTAGTTCTTTCAAGAAGGTCGTTATTAAAGAGCCAGGTGGCTGTTTCTCTACTCTGACTCTCTGTTGTATCATGTGATTTCTTTCTCTTGCGCGCAATCCAACCATTGTCATACCATCTGCTATGGAACCTTTTCTAGATAAAGGCCAAACCAGTGGATCTGAGTTAGAACTTTTGGCTTCTAAACAGTGAGCTAAATAAAGCTCTTCTTTGCAAACTACCCGACTTCATGTGTTTTGTTTTAGTAGCAGAAAATGTACTAATACAGACAGAGAATTACATGGAGATTCCTTTATTCAACTCCCTTAGCGTATGTAGGGTGTAGTTAATAATACTACGCCAAGGTGTGTGTATGTGTGTGTGTGTGATACCACTTAATCCTCGTAACGAAGCTACAAAGGGGTCATTTCCATTTTGGAGATAGTAAACTCTGACACAGAGAAGTGAAGCCCCTTGTCCAAGCTGAAGTGCTGGATGGAAGTTTCCAGCACAGGCATTTAGTTCTCTAACCCAATTCCAAAGGACTTGAACTTGAGTTTCCTAGAGAAAGACCCCATTCTATGTCCTTTGCCTTCCTCTGATAGCTGCTAATAGTCTGTCTCTCTCTACTCTATCATAACATGTCCCGATGTGCTGGTGTAGCCGTTGCCATCCAAGATGTCTTTCCCCAAGGGCTCAGACCAGGGTCTCTCTGATGTGCATACAGGGTTGCTTCTGGAGCACATGTGCTTTCCAGATGTCCCCTCTGCGGGAGACTCCACTTGGGATCCTTGGAAGTGTGTGCTGCAATTGTGTGTAAATGCTGCTCCTCAGCTGTCCCAGCTTGGCAATAATTGATGAGAGGTGTGGCTGTGTTAGATCTGAAGGCAGACATTCTATAGGTTTGGTCCTTCAGAGTTCAATTTTTTAAGGGACTAAAGCTGTCCTTAGAATAAAAGGTCCTGCTGACTTTATCAAATTCGCTTTAGTCATGAGAACATCATATATTATTAGTGGGTGAGGTTTCTTTGGAGATACTATCCCCACTTCTATCCCTTTCCTTAAGAGAGTTAGTACTTGAAAGTTGTTGTTTTGTTCAACTTGTCTCTACATATTTCCTAATTCGGGGCATTGGAGCTTGAAAGTCGCTAACAATTATGGACTATAAGAACAGTGTGGCAGATTGGCATGAGGCTCTCCTTTCCTATTTGATACTCGAAGGGTTTCTTTGTTGTTTCTTGTCCATCACAATCCATTCTGAACCCCAGCATACTCAGTTTTCCCTTGGAGAATGGTGCCCCCTCGTTGTGGGAGATATTGCTAGTTTAGACTGAACATCCATTCCCTCCTCTGGGAACCGAAGAGAAAAGCACTTTTTGCATAAATGTTGTATGTTTTCTTTCACATGCAGAGTCTAAGCTTTTTAATAAAAACATGTAATTAGTGGGATTGCAGATAAGAGGGAAGGGGGAAGAATACAAGAAAGGATGATGGGGTGAAATATTATTAAAGTGCATTATACGCATTCATGAAAAGTCATAGTGAAACCCATTATCTTGAACAATTAACACACACTAATAAAAATGAAGCCCATTATCTTGAACAATTAATATGCACTAATAAGGAGGCTCTGTCTTGTAGAATTACCATATATATAATATATACACATATATTATATATATATATATATCATAGACTTTTGTTTTCTTCATTGATTAAATAATTAAAAGGCAGGAAAAGTCTGAGAGTGAAGCAAAGCCCAAGTTTACTCAAAGAGGACACGTTTATTAGAGTTTAAATATCCAAGGCAGTCATGCTATAAATCTCAGCGGCTGCCTGGAGGAGGAAAACGAACAAGGAGTGGTGGGTCCTAGGGCCTGCGCTACAGAGCATGAATTCCGGGAAGGGAACATGTGATTTATCATTAAGGGGAATGATTATTCTACCTATTTCTTTGGATGGCTTAAGGTGAGATGGCCTTTAGACTTCATAGGGGTCATCCTGCTTTCCTGAGAAGTGGCCTCTTGGTTAGGTGTCTGCCTGGCCTCACTGGGTTAGCTTGTTTGCTTCTGTTTTGGGTAGTGTGCAATGTTAGGTCTTCACCCAGGCCAGAGGCTTCATCCTCTTTACCAGAAGAACCCAGGGTTCCCTTAAGGGGCCTTCGCAACTGCTGTGACAGTGCCAGCTCTTCTGTCTGCCCCTTGGTTCTATTGCTATTGTCCTATGGACCATCCAGGACATTTGGCTTCAATGCGACCGTGCAGCTTTTCTGCCTTGTTGGACATTGTGTAGTTGGCATGAGGATGGAGAGCATACTTTTAACTGTGAACTATGACACTGTGACGTCCCCTTGACAGGGTCTGGAATCTCCTAGGAGACAGACCTCGGGATATGTCCGTGAAGGTATCCCCAGGGAGGATTAAGCGAAGGGACGAGATCTGCCCTTAGACTGGATGACACCCTCCAGTGGCCTAGACATAAAATTCGGGCGGGGCGGGGCGGGGCGGGGCGGGGCGGGGCGGGGGGGGGTGGGAGAGGGGGGAGGGAGAAATGTTGCTAGCCTGACTTCACCTCTTCCAGAGTGAGCGGGTCTATGGCCGTCACTACTGCCATCCTCCACCGACAAGGTTCGTCTTTCCAGTGTGAGCTGAATACCAGGGACGCTCCAGGGATCGTCCGGGCCTTCGGCACCAGACTGGGACTGTTTGAAGCGCTCAGCTCTGTGAACTAAGAGTTACCGGGTTCTCAGCTTTTCCAGCCTGTGGACAGCCACTGGTGGACTGCCCAGCGCCTAGCGTGTAAGCCAATCTAATAAATCCCCTTTTATAATGTTTATACATTCTGACCATTCTGTTCCCCTGGAGAACACTGCCTAATACATACACACTGAGGGAAGAGTGCACGGAACTGCGTGAGAGATTTACAAATAATTAACACAAGGGTTCATGTAGCAGGACCATCTGGGTCACCAGCCTCCGACGGGTCTCTGTGTGCCTCTCAGCAGTGGAAAGCCCTCCGTTTCTCAGGACAGCTTCATGGGTGTGGGGTCCCACCTGGGTCCCGTTGCTGCTTAAGTCTCCAAATAACACATGAGACACTATATTAATTACAAAGTCCTTGGCGGTTTGCTTTGGTTTCTTGTAGGAGGAAGTCTGTATGCCGCCATTAAACATGTGACTTATTAGAGGCGCATACAGATGAGGTAATAAAAGGGCGGTTTACCACACCGCTAACCATACCCACTTTAGGCAGGACTAAAGACATATACGGCTGGATGTAAAGACGTATACGTACGCAGGCGGTGAACTACGTCACTAGCCAGGCCCACTTTTGGGCATGGCTAGGGGGCGTTATGGGGGAAGGTATAAAAGACAGCACACAGGAAATCTCGCTCTCTCTTTTCCTGGAGTTCGGCTTCCGGTTCGGCAGCAGAAAACTGCTTGGCTCATCTGGGTTACTTGTTTGGTATCTTGTGAGTAATTTCTACAATAAATACTTAGTTTTACTTCTAGTAAGTGTCGAGTATCGTTACAGCGTCCCTTGGAGCGTACAGAATGGTTGTCAGGAGTGGGATTGAATTTCCACGCAAAACAACAAAAGCTTTAAAGGAATTTTAGAAACAGAAGAATGGAGAGAAGCACAGATTTTGGTAGCAGCATTTTTCTCAGGTGTGCTCTGTTTTGCTAGCCACAAGCCGAGATTCACGTGGCTCGCTTACTGGAGTCTTCCTGACTCGGCATAAAAAAAAAAAACAAGGTTGTTTTAAGAGACTCTGCTAATGATTAAAAGGTGTGTACGTACAGCTGGAAGTGGCAGCATTTGCTGGATGTCAGCATAGACTGAGGTGGTAAGCTGGGGTCACGCTTATGCCCGCCATCTTGACGGAAAAAAAAAACAAAAACAAAAAACGGCAGTTTAAAACAGCTGCGGTTTTATAGATAAGACACGAGGCCAGAAAAACATAAAGATTTACAGTAAAGTCAGACTTGGATGAACAAAGCCTCTAAAGGTTTACAGTGTGTTTAAAAATATACATGAGATTGAGAGAGAAAATGAAACGGCAAAGCGGTAAATAAATACAAAAGCCGGCGTTGTGGTGGCGCACGCCGGTAGGATTTACTCCAGAGGCAGAGGCAGGCGGATTTCCAAAGAGAAACCCTGTCTCAAAGAAAAATAAATAAAAGTAAAAGAAATAAAATAATAATAGAAATAAATAAGCCACGCAAAGATGGAAAATACACAGAGTCTGGACACTGTACGCTATTGTGTTTTTCAGTTTTTTCATTGCTAAGGAAGGAACAAATGCTAAAGTACTCTTGATTATAAATGCTGCTGAATTAATTCAACTTATATCTTTTGAAAATGCCTTGACTTCAAAATTTAAGTATAAGGATATGTTACTCGGAAAAGGAGATTTTATGTTTCTACAGAAAATGAAAAGCTGAGGATTCCTTCCAGGCTTCTGTGGTTTGACGAACCAAGACACCCGGAAGCAGTGGACCAGGTGTTCCAACAACTGAAACAGTTAAGATGATGGAGCTTTACAGACCACGAAAATAAGGACTTATACAGGTTTCTGAGTTTTGTCATGATTCCCATGGTATGAACAGCGCCCCCTTCCAGCAGGAAGCAGTTTGGAATGAGCGACGTCCCAATTCCCATCTTGATTATAAATCTTTGTTTTCATTTAAATGGGATTGTTTATAATTGGCTAATGATCACAGCCGATCTTTTTTTAATGGTAAAAAGGGGAATTATGGTATGGGTATTGTTTTCATTTATTGAGACAAAATCAAGGTCAATTTTGTGATGCTTATATTTCTCCTCTTGATTAAGTATTGTGCTTATACTGATCTTTTAAAATGTAATGCGTAATTAAATACAGATTATAGATAGTTACTTATAATAGTCAGAATTTATAGTTAGGTAAGTTAGGTTTTCTAGGTATACAAAAATATATTTGAGATAGATAAACAGTCTTCAAACCTCTCAAAGACCTTCAGAAAATGGCATTTAAAATGGTTTAGGGTTTTTCTTGACAATGAGAAATGTCTGCTCCTGGCAGCACCAATTACGTCTGAGAGGAACATGGGCATCAAAGAAACTTGTTATGGAGTTTGCTTTCAACATGGCAAGATTAGCCATTTGGGCAAGAAACTGTTCTTGCCTAGACTGTTTGACTGTTGCTGTATAAACTGGACATGCAGGACCCACAGGAAAGTGACTACTGAACTCAGTCTTACAGGGTTCCTGCTTCATGGAAGAGTCTAAGAGACTTTCTGCAGGACAAAGAAAAATGACTGACACACTGCCAATGCAGATGGACAGTTTGAAATTTCCTGCTTTGCTGAGAAATCTTCTGGATACATTGTGGCCTATGGGCTGAAGATGGATGCCCCAACATTATAGAGGAACTTTGGGTGACTGTCCAGGTAGCAAGATGTCTCTGTCAATCCTAGTGTTTATATATTATCCTTCTGTGGTCTTTGATGGAGTTGAAGATAGTTATAATTATAGTTTTCCTTAGTTATAATAAAAGATACATATAGAACTTTGGACTCACAAGGATGGGATGGATGATATTTTCTTTAAATCTTGCTAAAATATTGTAACTATGTTCTTGGATAACTGTTCTGTTATAAATAATTACACTATGTTAAAGTTAAGGCCTTTCTTTTTGTTTAAACAGAAAAGAGGAGATGATGGGGGAAGTCCTGTACATTTGTTAATAAAGCACTGTTGGCCAATAGGAATCTAGATGGGTGGGACTAGGAGTCCAGGAGGATTCTGGGAAGGAAAAACACAAGAGAGTTCGAGATGTAACGCCATGAGGTAGGAGTCCGGTAAGAGACATACTTAGATTAACAATTATGGGGTAACTACTTAAGTCAGAGCTAGCCAGTAAGAAACAAGCAAGGCCAACAGCTTCATAATTAATATATCCTCCTGTGTGTTTATTTGGGGACTACAAAGCGGCAGAGCCCAGGTAACTGGCGGGGGATAAACCGAAGCGGCTAGGAAAGAAAAATCTTCTCTTTACAGTTTCTAACTGGCTAGCTCTGACTTAATTATTAGCCCATAATTAATATATATTTTATAAGGACTTATCCTTATGAGGACGCACTCTTGAGCACCCATTCCTCCCGGGAGATCCGATGGTGACCACTCTTCTCACTATGTTTCCCAGAATCCTCCTGGACTCCTAGTCCTGCCTATCTTGCTTCCCTATTGGCCAACAGTGGTTTGTTGACATATACACAGAAGGACGTTCCCCATCAGGTGTGCAAGGCCTTCAGATGCTCTGTGCTCAGATGTCCCTCTTCCCACCCTGTGTGGTTAAACACTCTTGGCCTTCCTCCTCGGAACTTCCTCCTCCTGTAGTTCTCGAACAAATGAATCCACATTTCTCTATTCTCCAAGGCCCACAAATTACATAGCATGTCCGCCTTCACTCTCAGGTGCTATAGTTCTGAGTTTTGTGGTGATCCTCTTGGGCTCTGTACCTCTACCATCTCTGCGTTGCTGTTGAAGGACTGCTTCTCTTTGGTGTGCGCTGATGATCCTTGCTGTAAAACCTACCCAACCCATGGGTTCTGCTTTGTAGGTCCCCGCTCCCCGCTCAATTCTTTCCCAGCGCATTTAGTTTCACCTCGGCTTGCCACGTGGTGACCTCTGTTTCTTAGAGTCAATGAAATGTAGCTGCTGGTTTATTACTAAGACACTCTGTTTGTTTGTTTGTTTGTTTTGTTTTGTTTTTCAAGACAGGGTTTATCTGTATTGTCTCGGAGGCTGTCCTGGAACTTTCTCTGTAGACCAGACTGGCCTCAAACTCACAGAGATCCGCCTGCCTCTGCCTCCCGAGTGCTGGGGTATGCCACCAACGCCCAGCCATTACTAAGACACTTGACAGAGTCTGCCAGTCTCTCTCTCTTTTTTTTCCTCCTCAGAAAAGGTTGCTATAGGCCGTGCACTAGTCACTTTCTCTGGCTCTAGAACGCCGCAACCAGAAGCAACTTCCAGAGGAAAAGAGTTTATTTGGCTCACGGTTTCAGAGGCATGAGTCCATTGTGATGTGCGGAAATCCGTGACAGCAAGCGTGTGGGCAGGAGCAGGAAGTTGAGCGGTCATATCACTAACTGTAAAAATGAGCGGGGTGGGGGAGTGGAGGGTGGGGGCTGGAGGTTTAGGGGATGGGGGTTGGGGGATGGGGGTGGAGAGGTGGGGTGGTGAGGGTGGGGGGTGGGGTAGGGGGTGGAGGTTGGGGAGTGGGGAGGTGGGGGGTGGGTGTGGGGAGTGGGGGGTTGGGGATGGGGAGTTGGAGGGTTGGGGGATGGGGAGGTGGGGGTGGGTGTGGGGAGTGGGGGTTTGGGGATGGGGGTGGGGAGGTGGGGGGGTGGGGAGGTGGGGGTGGGGTTACCCACACAAGAGAAAGTAAGCTGAATCTGGGATGAGGCCTTCGAAGGCTGACCCCAGTGCTGTGCTTCCTCCACCAAGGCGCCGCCTCCTCCAAACGTATTACTGTCCGGTACCTGAGCCTCTGGGGTCATTTCTCATCCAAACCATTACAGGCTGCAGATAGATGTCACCATCTTGGAGAACGCCCCCATGATACATGGTTGAAGCGGGGTCTCCATGTCTCAATAAGCTGTGCCCTCAGTACTTAGAGCCATGGTAGGCAAGTGATCCACACAGAACCAACAACAATTCCTAGGGCTTCTGTACTTGACCTGTCGAAGGTGGTCTGTAGTCACCCTGTTATCAAGGCACAGGGAAGCTTTACTATGGCCGGAGACACTAGAGACCACAGAGCACTCGTGGAAGGCAGGGGAAGCA